CTTGCTAATTTTGAATTTAGTTTTTTTCTAGCTAATCACTGCCACATTTACCTTCTTTCTAGACAGATTCTTCTCTACTTATGAACAAGTTCATTTCTTAAAGGCTGTTCTTAGGTCCACTTTTTCCCAAGTCCAGAAGGACTAAGAGATGTTTAAACTGGCAGGCCTAGGATGCAGTTCCACCAAAAAGATTCTTTGAAGATTTCAAAGCAGGTGGACTTATTATTTATAATAGCAAAAGACTATAGTATAAATTGATCAATGGAGTATTGATTATATAAGTCATGGCATTTCTTTATATGTAGCTTTTAAAATGAATAAGGCTTATCTATATGAATTAATATATAACAATCTCCAAAATACATTAAATGGGAAAAACGTTGCTGAAATAAGTATATATTATGTTATTATTTATATAAAAGGAAATATTAAAATGTCTTAATAGTCGTCACCTCTAGGAAGGAGAACTGGGGGTCTAAGATGAAAGGAAGACTTGTTTGCTATTATATGTATTTTTTAAACTATTTAAATTTATAAATGTTTATAATTATTGCTTTTAAAAAAACAATTAATTTGTCTCTCAAATCACAAACCAGACTGGCTCTTTCTGTTTTCTCCTACCTTCTATTAACCTATCCCTTATCTTTTCCTATAGACCAGTTTCCACTACGTTGAACATACATTGAGAGAGGTAATTCCCCCCTCCTTGGTGATGGCTGCACATGTGGGAAACTCCTTGGAAGCTACAATGTCCTTAAACTATGGAACTTAACTGTGGCTCTGTCAAAAGTTCTCACAGCAGCATATTTACCAAGTTCAGCCTTTAAGTTCCTAAACAAGTGCTGGTCCAGGATTAATCTTATTTAGGCATCTGGCATTGATCTCCTTTTTCACGTGTTAAAGCCTTTCATTCTGACAATCACTTTTCATTCTTTTTGCTTGTTATTGCTGATGGCATAGGTATATGCGTGATTGGATTTTTGTTCTTCAAAATTGTCATTAATGAACAATTTTGCTACAAGTACGTACATTTATCATTCTCAATTCTTTACTACATCCATTTTTGTTTCTATACTAATTGTATGTCTCTTCCTTCCAACACTGTTAATATTCTAGCTGCATTTGTTCTTACTGCACATGAAGGATTAATACCATTTGTAGTTTTTGTAAAAAAATGAAAACTAAGAGCGAACATCAAAAATACAAAGATCAAAGGTCAAAAATACAAAGATCAAAGGTCACAAAGTGGTGATCAGCAGACTGAATTCAGCCTGCATAAGTTGTTTGTTTGGCCTACATAACATTAAAAATGCTGAATTGGTTATTGACATGCCAAGATTGTAGGAGGTTTCTGGTTTGCCTTGAGAGAGGAAAGGTGAGATACAATCAGCTGGTGTTGCAGGCTGCCCACCCCTTGATGACCACAGCTCCCCTCACCCTGCACTCCAGTCCACCTTGGTCCCTGCCCTGCCAGCTACACTCTTGATACCCATTTGAATTTGCCACCCTGAAAATTAAGGAATTAACAAAAATGGATTAAAGAATAACCCAATGATCACTTGACCAGGACTAAAATGAGGTCACCTGACCACTAACTCCTCCTGACGTGTCTGAAAGAGTTGTTGCACTTTCGCTTGGGAACAAAGCTTTGTTTATATTAAAACTCATAAATTGAATGTTTTTAAGTAACGACCTGTAGTGAATTGTAGTTTACTGATTAAGTTGTGAGCTCTTTCATATATACATTTCCTTTTGCTTAAAGTACCCTCTTCTTCCTACTTTACCCTTTTTATTTAGCTCATCCTTCAGAATTTAACTTGCCAGGAAATCTTGCTTAATCCCCATTCTGGTTTGATTGCCTTTCCCCCACATTTCTGTAGAACGCATCTTTTAACTTAGTATTTAATTATAGGTTTTGTTCTATAATCTTTTATTCTAGCAAGATTGGGAGCCTTTGAAGGTGGGTTGTATGTTGAGTTCACATCATATCCTATAGGCCTCCTGTCTTTACTGTATCAGAGATGTCTGCTGCGTGCCTTATGTCAGGTATATAGAAGGCATTCAACAAACACCTGTAGGAATGAATGACTTAATCTGTATGTTGTATATGACTTGCTTTCTATGATCTTGTCAGCAACAATTTTGAGCAGCAATGTGAAGATTGACAAGGTCTGATTTATTTCCTTAAATTACCAACTTACTTGTAGTTTGTACGGGAAAGTATTATTTGGTATGTTAAGTATTGGAGCCTAGGACAAGTAAAGAAAGTTCAAATCTAAACTCATAAGTCTTATGTGGGGCCTAAGGTTGTTATAGGACATCTACCCCTGTCTTCCTAGAAAAGCTATCACAGTGCCAGAATATTTAATTCAGACACACATTCTCATGAGTGTCTGTAACATCTTATTATCAAATAAATGACTCAGAGTACGAGGGTATTGGGACTAGATGAAGTGCGGAGGGGAGTGCTGT